ATCTTAGTTATTATCAAACCTGTTAGAAGACTGAGCTCCTTAGGGTCCAATGCACTCATGCTTCTCAAGGTCAAGGTTCCAATAATCTTAAAGTGATAACCAACAAGCCCCATTCTTTCCTACCAGTCCTAAAGCAAATATTCAGCCTTACACTTAAGCCTCTTCCCTGTCGTTAATGGTGTTCACTCTGAGTCCCTGTGCTTCTCTGATTTAAGTCAGTCCCTTTTGTTTCCACAGGGGCATTCATACCTCGGTGTAACGATGAAGGCTATTACAAAGCCACACAGTGTCATGGCAGCACGGGGCAGTGCTGGTGTGTGGATAAATATGGGAACGAGCTGGCTGGCTCCCGGAAACAGGGTGCTGTAAGCTGTGGTGAGTAAGGCCTTTTTCAACAGCCCCAGAGGACAGGGTGACTCAGGGGCCCTCCCTGTGTAGGGATCACGGCAGAAAAATTCCAAGAGGCAGCTCTGGCTAGAGTGGATTTACAAGAGGGCCAAGGAAATGCTGAAAAGCTAGCTTTTCTAGTGACAGGAACTCACCGTTATCAGTCAGTGAGTAGGCAACAGTTTTTGAGTCCGGGTACTGTTCCAGGCACAGAGCAACGGAGGCTGCCGTTTCTTCTCACCTACACTGTGACCTTCCTGAGAAAGAAGTCTGGGGGTTCGGGTATGAGTCTAGGACTCCCATCAGAGCAGTCCACAGGCCCTGTCCTAGAGACCGATTCTAGCTGAGCAGGGTTGCCCTCAGAAAGTAAATGCCCTGGTTTTATTCTACAACTCAAGTCACAGGCAGAGGAAACTCCAACATAGACCTGGAGGGACGCAGAAGCTAACCTAAGCTTTTCCTCCCTGTGTCAGAAGAGGAGCAGGAGACTTCCGGGGATTTTGGCAGCGGTGGCTCTGTGGTTCTGCTGGATGACTTAGAAGATGAACAGGAGCTGGGGCCAAAGGACAAAGAGGGGAGGCTCAGAGTGCATACCCGGGCCGTGACGGAAGATGATGAGGATGAGGATGACGACAAAGAAGACGAGGTTGGGTACATATGGTAGTGCCCGTGAGGAAGAGGACATGCTTGTGGCGCAAAATTGCAAGTCACTTCCTATTCCTGCATTTGTATCTAAGACTCCAAGGCACCGAGGTCTCTCTTCTCCACTGTTGCTCTCTCTACCTGGCCTAAGGTCTGGAAGATGTCTGCTTGTTCCCAGAGCATTCTGATTTTGCATACAGTTGTGTGGGAGAATGGATGGTTTTTCTTGTTTTTGTTTTCATTGGATGCGAGAATGGCTGATTAGTTAGCACCTCCCTCCCTCCTGTGAGGTTTTTGCAACAAGCATGTGATTTATGTGGAATCCAACAGTGTGGGGAGCCCCCCACCCTTCCAAAAGTCAAAGACCCTCTCTGATTACCCACATCGGTGGCTACTACAGCATGGTTCCCAGCCTCATGGTGTCTCAGTGCTTTTCTTGTGTCCTGTAGATGTTGTGGAGCACACACCACACTGTACTTTCTCCTCCTGCTCCCACCACCTCTGGTGTTTCCTATTAAACATTAATTTTCCATGTCACTATCTGGCGTGCTACAAATGACAGCCTTAATTCAGTCAAAAGTCCCCTTAGGGAATTCTCTTTCATAAAAATTAAGGTCTGGATGCTTCTTGCACATACACAAACAGGTATGTATACACAGAACAAAGTGAGTGTGCATGCCTTGGATAAATACCACTCAGAAAAGTACTGAAAACTCAATTTAAAAAACAGTTATACTTAGTCAACTTCTCCAGACCTGGAACTCAATTTATGGGATATGAAATTCGTATCAGAGCCCTGTTTCACAATAACAGTTGGCACTTATAGCCTGCAGGCTGGGAAGGTTCCTTCTCTGCATGGGAACAGGGTTACTAGAAGCCTCTTTGATTTGGATAAGCCTTCGTTTGCCTAAATCGTTTTTTTCTTGCAGAAGCCATGCGACTCCTACTTGGGCAGCTTCACAAGCCATTTCAGCTCAAAGCTCCCCTCAGGCTGCAGCAATTCCATTTGTGACAGGTCCCCCCTTCCCTACCTACTCAGGGGCTTTTTCTAAGGCATGCACACTGAGCCCCTCTTCTCTAAGAAGACAGTACCATGGTAACCCTTAGAAGAAAATTTAGGGGTTCTTACTGTTTTGCTTTTATCCCCCTTTCTAACCATAAATCACGATGAGGATACAAAAGCTCTAGAGGTTTCTATTTCTCACTCATATATTTTTTTTTTTAAATCCCAAATAGAGACCTAGAAAGAACTCCATAGCACCACAAGGAGCTAGTCGGCTAGTCACCAACCTCCCCCGTCTCCCAACTGTCAAGATGCGACTGAACTACTGCGTCTCCTCCCTGAGCTCATTAGTGGAGCATTGTTCAAAAATTCAGTAGTCTTTCAGATTTCTTTCACACAAGTACCAAAGAGTAGTCTTCACAGCAGCCCCATCAGCTCAGAGTCAGTCCCTGGTCTTTGCTCTGCTTGCTTCCTACCTAACCGGTCACCCTAATGAGTCACAGCCCACCAGACACCCTCTCTCTTTTTGTTTTCCTTCCCCATTTCAGTCAGTGCACAAAACAGGTCCTTCAAAGCAGGCAAAAAATATATTAGGTCAAACCTGGATCACAGAGGTAAAACCAATCTTCTACCCTAAACTAACCTTTTGTCTCATGTAATCCACCTAAAATTTGCATTTTCCATCTTTTCTCAGGATGGACAAGGTTACATTGGCCCTAGAGTTATTCTTGGATGGGAAATGAATATAGGTGGCATCTTTCACTCCCATAGCCTGGTACAGCAGAGTGTGGAAGATCCATATGCGCTTTCTCCTTCTGAGACCATAGACCAGCTCTGTACTGGGATCTCAACTCTATCACTCCCCTTGCCATAGTATTTTTTTCTCACTCAAAAATGAGATCATAATTTAGAAAAACAGGTGCTTAATCACAGTTAAATTATAATAGAATCTATAAAAAAGACATATTGAAAAATCTCAGTTTAGACCGTCAACAAAAACCATTGTTATTATTTCCTTTGAGCTTGAAAAAAATGCACAAGAGAACAAATTAAAATTGACTAATTGATTTCTCTTAGAGATACTTCTAGGAACAGAATGAATCACTGATTTTGTCTAATTATCTTATGACAAGTGTCAAATTAAGATGATACTTAAAGATCCTTAGCATTAACTTAATTATCGAGGAGAGTGCTCGATAGGCAATTGCCAGGAAGGTAATGAGATGCCATTTTCAGAGATATTCTAAGACGATATTTTGATTCATTAAAATATTAAATCAAAAACCCTCCTAAGACTGGAACCCATATCAGTAGAGCAACGTCAGTACCACATCATGCCCCACTTTGGCTCAACAGCATTAGGCTTTTAAAGATCTCCAGTACTGTCTGCTTATACTTACAATTCGATTTTGAGTTTCCTTATCCTTAGAAATAGAGTTTTTGTTTCCTTCTTTTTAGAAGGAACCCTTTAATTTCAGTAACCAGGTATGCATGAGCTATTGTGATAGCTAATTCCTTCCTTAAGGCAGGTATTGAGTTGAATCCTCACTAACTCTTCATAAAACAACCTTAGTGAATACTGCTATTCTTATTTTATAAGCAGTTAATACCATTACTGTGGCATCTAACTGAAATCCTAGAATTTTCTTCCACCATGGCTAGTTATCAGCCATATTAATGTCTTTGGTTTCTACAGATATTCTTAGCATGGGGATGCCTTCATGTGGAGTTTGAAGTTCTGTCTGGTTTCTCCTTTCTGCCCATTTCCCTTTCCACACATGAAATGACATGTCTGTCTAGGTCTGTCCTCTGCTTTTCCCACAATGCCATTGGCACTGCGTTTGGTTTAATCTTGACAACACTGTACAGTGACATCCAACAGCCCTTTCTACAGTGGGTGGTTTTGGTCTTTTTATACCTTTTTCTCAGTCACTGATGTTTGTCCCTGTTAAATATGTAGCCTTGCAATTCAAAAGCCCATCAAATCCAGAGTGTCAGTTTGTTGTCCCTATTGTAGGTGAAATAGTGATGTAGAGAATCTAGAATTCTGAATGCTTTTCCACGTAGACCTATCTGGAATGTGAACATAACTCTTTGGTTAATAACAAATGCTTAACTGTAGTCCTAAGTAGGTGCATTTCTGTCTGTCTCAATAAATTTTACTTTATCTGCAACATCTGAGTGTTTTGTTTTGTTAGCTGGAATGTGAACTCACTGAGTCATGATCCCCATACCAATCAGAGTAGTCAAGTGGGATGGCCGTGAGGCCCTTAGTTAAGACTGCCATACATAGAGGCTGTTGACCTGCTGGTCACCTGGCCCCTCAGTTTACCCCGTCAGCTTATTGTACCTGCTCAGAGAGACTCCACCTGACCCCTCTTTTAGCTGATTTTGTATCTCCCTGACCCCAACTTTATTTCTTATCCACCAAATTTCACTTCTATCACCCTACTTAATGTTTTCAACTTCTATGGGGGCATGTCAGGGGAGTGAGAGAGGCTCTTTCCTTTTTACAAGAGACCCTACTTCTCCTCCATGAATTAACAGATGCTTGTCAAACCAGTGAGCATCCATATTAGAACAGCAACTGTGTCCCCCGACCTATACCCACATTCATGCTAGTGTGCCCTGACTTAAATTATTTCTTTGTCAGAGTTGCTGCTGCTGCTGGACCTGAGTTCCTGGCCCACTTCTTGGTCATGCTACATGCCCTTTTTACACTCTGAGACCTCTGCTTTCAAACATCCCCTCCATTCTGGGAAACCTCAGTCTGTACCTCCAGTGTAGGGTTTGAACTCTGCTTCACTCAACTGCTATTGAACTTATTCTGAATGAATTTCCCACTGACACTTCAATTCCAAGCCTTAAAAACAGAGAGGCTAGACAGTCACTATGCCTGTGAAAATAAGCGTCAAGAAAGGTTTTTCTGAAACCATAACAAACATCACCCATGAGGAAAAGATTGAAAAATGTGAATCTATAAAAGTTAATAACACATCATAAACAAAAGATAAGCAAGAGGCTAAAGGAGATATTGGTGGCATAAATCGCATGAAGGATTAGGATATAAAATATGTTTAACACCTGAAAATCCATTAAAAAAATACAACACAATGGACTATCAAGTAAAAAAAAAAATAGTTCATAGAAAACACACAAAAGGAAATGAAAGTATGTGGGATCTCGTAAGTAAGACTTAAAGCCATAATGTATTGGTTGTCAACCAGAAAATAATCATGATGAAATCCGGTGTTAATGAATGTGTGGGCTGTGGGGAACTTGTGTGCACTGTGGAATCCCAACAGCTGAGTGGAAGCGGTCAAGCAACTGCTGACACAGAAAGGATGTACACCCTTGGAACCAGAAATTCCACTTCCAGCAACTACCGCTGGAGGAAAAGGATATGCCGCTTACAAGGATGCATACGAAAGCTTTTCTACTGCAGCCTCGTTTGCTGGAGCAGAGAGTTTGGGGAAAGAAAATGTCAAAGATGACACTGAAAGTGTCTCTACTCTGGAATAGTGCAACAGTCAAAAGTGATGTGAACTGGCTTATACCGATAAAGAACTCAGAATGTTGGTTATATTGGAAAAATTCACATACAGAATACAAATATTAAGCTATATACCTAAAAAGTGATACTCTCCATTGCTCAGTGCATACATGGAAAGACCCAAAAGGAGGTAAGAGGTCACCCAGGCTACATGGGGATTTCGAGGCCAGCCTGAAAGAAAAGGATAACAGAAGAAAGGGATAGAAAGATGACTGATTGGAGGGAATGAAACCAGTAAATAAGATGTAGTTCATCAACTTCTTCAAAATGCCCACTTCACCTTCAAAATGCCCTTGATGTAAGAATTGGCTCTGCCATCCAAGGCATTCTCTCCTCCCAACATTCTGTCCATTTTGTTTTCTATTATACCACTACTGGTCTCGATTCTGACAAGAATCCTTCAAAGACCTTAGAAGCAAGTTTGCTGGCTTGTTTGATAGTAAATCAATCAGTGCTGGTGATCAAACCTAGGACTTTACACATGCTAGACAAGCACTCCATCACTGAGGTACAAAACCAGCCCTTGGTTTCTTGAGACCAGGTATCACTATAGATCCCAGACTAGCCTTGAACTTGTAATATTCCTGCCTCAGCCACCCAAGTGCTAGAAATAATTGCTATTCCACCATACCTGACCTCAGGAGTGTTTGAACATCTGATCCTGATGTACACTTGTCTAGTTCTAGTCCATCCTATAATTTGCTACCACTACAGTAACTGATTCTCAAAAGGCAAAGCTAATCAGGTTACTGCCCCTGTCTAACTGAAAGGTTTCTCATCAAATTCTGGAACAAACTTGAACTACAGCAGCCCCTCCTTGTGTGCAGAGGGTACATCTTAAAACCTCCAGTAGATGGCTTAAACTAAGGCTCCTACTGGACACTATACTGTGTGTTTTCAAGTGCTTATACACATGATAAAGTTTATGCTAAGCACAGTAAGAAATCAACCATATATGATTACAAAGTAGAACATTGGTATTATGATTAAAGTTATTTGTGACTGTTACTTCTCTCTTTACAAATTCCCCTTATAGTGACAATGTGTATAGTACAATGTAATCAG